CGCGGAGTCTTAGAAATCATCGGGTAGTAAACCAAAATATGGGGAAAAACGTGAAAAACTTAAAATTACAGAGTTTTCTACTGCACACAATAGTTCGACCGCCGCAAGCGTAGACGTTAGCTATCATCTCGCAGGATGGTCATAGGCCTAACTTGTGTGTTTGTTGGGGATGTAACAGACTTTCGCTACACTTATTTCACTTTTACAACCACCATGTCCCGATGGCTGGACAAAGTGGACGTTAGCGCCTCACCAACATTCCATAATACCACTACCGCGTCCTAGTCTCTAGATGCAAGGCCACCTGGCTGACTGCTCTAGCTGAGTTCGTGGTTACGTAGACGGAGCCGGCAGTGGTTCTTCACTACTGAAGTTCTGTATGCCTTGATCATACCAACGGACACCATAAAACTTGGTGAATAAATAGACCAAGATACCTTTTTAAACATTCTTGATCATAGTGAACTGCTCATAGGTGAGATTATCGCTGGTTTTCTCCGTAGAATAACCGCCGGGATCTCCCATCTTTACATTGAGTCATAGCAGTTGTATTGGTCCGGTGATCAGGGGACATACTATTGTGTGCAGCGTACCAGAACTGATTGGTGCGGGACTGAGTAGATAACGAGTTTTATTCAGACCGCTTTGGAAAGTGCAACAACTGTGAGTCGGACCCAAATAAAAGTTCTAAAGTTGTGTAACTTCACGTTTAGAAGTCCACTGAAAAAAGTTGGCGGCAGAAGTAGTCCGGTGATCTACTTGTATCCCGATCTCTTCTGGAATAACCATCCAGATGAACTGTCACGCTCGTCACGTTTGCAGACTAGTGATCAGCTTGGAAACCCGGGTATCCTGGCTTTCTAGAAATCGTCAAGGAGATACGCGTGTCAGGGACGGTTTCTCTTAAGAAGAGTTGAGCGACATTAAGTGTTTGCTTTTTGGGGCTCCCGGCCTGCTTCTTCAGTCTCTTGCCAAGCACAAAAGATAAGAAACAGGACAAACGATGGCTGCGTACTTGGGATCAGATCAACGCGTATAGTCGGTCCTTAAGTCACGCACAAGCTCCAACGTTTCGGCGGCAATAAATGACGCAGCCACAATCACAGCTATTTCTCGGCCTGATTCCTCAGTTAAAATTTCTGTCATACCTCCGGCGCTGGACTCAGGAAACAGCCTGAGGTTTCACAATAATAAATCATTTTTCGCCAGTGGCAGATCCAATCCGCAGTGTGGATAGCTGTTTCTTTCGTGATACAAGGCGGCGCGATTAGTGATTAATCGTCGTACAAACAACTAAAATACAGGTTTTAAAAACCAGCATTTTGGCTGAAAGCACGCCCCCTTTTCTGAACTAGAGATGTCGTCGCGATGGAAGTAATGCCAGCCAGGTAGACTCTGGGGGGCTCTCCACTCCGCTAGACTAACAGTCGACCATCTACCACTGGTTGCTAGATGTAGGCTGGAATAAACATTGTTTCATTGTGGTCTACTTCGTGGACATTCTGATTGGCCTAGTTCTGGGTGAGGGAAGCACGCAGTCTGCCAGAAAGAACATAGACACGACCTTCACAATTCGCATGAATCGGTAGATAGTCCATCCTATTGAAGTGCAGATAAATAAATCCTGAAAACAGTAGGCTCTCTCAATTACACAACGAGTACCGCAACGGCCCTGAGTTACGTCAGGCACGGGTGGAAGATGAGTAGTGCTGACGCACCCTGCTCTTTGTTTCCCTTGCCACAACACGCAGCACGCTGTCTCAACATCCGCAGCTACCCAATCACTATTAATATTTCCCCGCTAGGTCTGCCTATCTCTTCGTATGCCTTTCTAAGAGCCGTATAACAGCCACAGCAACCGCCCCATTCCCGCTGGTGTGTGTAATTTTTACATACCACCCGTCAGCCCCCGTCCCCCCTCATGTCGCTCTAAGTTCTTGTTTGATGCATTTACAAAGCAATCCGGTGACCCACGATTGACAAACACTAGGATCGGCCTGTTTGACTAAAATTGGATCTTCAGGAGGAGATTGGTCCGCGGTTCGGACAGGCACGCTGGGCGCTAGAACCTGTCGCCGTCCACTGACTGATGCGCAGGCTATGAATCCAATCTCGAATGTGCCACGATGACTCATCGTTGGGTTCACAGCGCTGCCGCCAGGTCGCGTTGGTCGTTAGACCGCAGGGGGAGGGTCGCCGAAGGAAGGCCCAGCGTGCGCATTCTGGCGGGGGTCACTGAAACCGAATCACTTTAATCTCGGGTAGGTGCTGCAGTCCTTGTTTTGCGTTCAGGCGACACTTGGCTCTGGTTCGAACATTACTGATGTCTGCAAGTCGCCACCCCAGTTCTTTCCACTCCTGCAGTTCGGTCGGCAGCTAATGCCAGGCCCTACAGACATACGATTAGGCAGGGGGTTCAATGGTTTCATGGGTGGAGCGTCGTCTTGCTCACCGTAGTACCCGGGTTTGAGCCCAAGCCTTGTTGATTCTCAGATTGGCAAAATTGAGAGTTCCGGTGATTTGAAGGCAAGGATGGGCTCACCGGAACGGGTTTATTTAGGTGCTGACGTTTCGAAGACCTTGGTCGGATCCCCACTGTCAAAGCGTAAAGTGCACTTAAACAACCAGAAATGGCAAGTGGCATGCCGCGTTGATCAGCCTAATGCTGATCGATTTTGCTCTTCTCTCGTTGCCTCGGCCTCTCGGGGGATGGTTGGCGGGCGTTTTATCTGCGTGCTTTGTGAGTCACCGATTCGTCGGAGGGAGGTGATTGAACTTCCGTCGTGGTGGTCGGTATGACGGGTCTTCTTTTTCGCCGAGTAGACTCGCCATCGGCCTATGTATGGCCTTCTTAAGTCCAGTGTATTTACTTGGTACTGAGCTCTACGGACGCGATAAGGTAGGACTTTGTAGGCTGCAGGAAGGTCCTGATGCCTGTTGATGGAGTTGGCATCGGAGTACCAAACCTCGACCCATAACCTCATGCTCCGTGCAAATTTATTGGGCTAACGGTGAATTGCTGAAAACGTACGTTTGCCGACATGACTTTTTAATAAAAACAGTCCGATTTTACCACAATATGGTATCTGCTCAGATTGGCAAAGCTGAGAGATGCGGGTTGATGACTTGAAGAAAAAGATCGGCTCTTCGGAGCGCGTTTAGTTAGGCGCTGACGTTTCGAAGACCTTGGTCGGCTCCCCTTGTCAAAGCGTAAAGTGCACTTAAGCCACCAGAAATTGCAAGTGGCATGCCGCGTTTATCGACCCCATGCTGATCGATTTTTCTCTTCTCTCGCTGCCTCGGCCTCACGGGGGATGGTTGGGAGGGGGGGGGGGGCATTTTATCTCTGTGCTTTGTGAGTCACCCCTCCGTCGGGCGGAGGTGATCGAACCTTTGTCGGGTGGTCGGTCTGGTAGCATGCAGGAAGGTTCAGGTACCTGTTGACGAAGTTGGCATCGGAGTACCAAGCCGCAAATGGTGGCCTGCTTTTGTGTTGTCCCCGCCTAAGATGGTAGCTCTCTGGAGATAGAAAGTCTGCCCAGTTTCTCCGACGTGCGTTGCTGGTTGAGAGTTTCGATCTGGCCTCCGGGTCGCCGAGTTGTGCTCCTGTAGACGGGTCTGCAATTTCCGCCCGGTTCCCCCGACATAGTTACAGTCGCCCTTATTGCAATTTATTCTGTAGACAAATCCGGAGATTTCTAAGGGTGGTAGTGCGTTCTTAAGTTGAATCACAACTTGTTGTTCGCGGATGACTGCGCGCTAAATCCCACAGTGGGAGAGGACATTTAACGATGCGAACCTCTTCGTCCGTATCTGCTCCAACTTCGGAATTGACTATCACCGTGGAGGCGACAGTGGTCACTCACCAACCGGTGCCAAGTCCAGGCGACTGCGGACCTCGTATCAGTGTCGGTGACACTTACCTAATGGCAGTGGAAACATTGGCGTACCTGGGGAGTACGATTTCACAAAACATTAAGACTCCAAGCAAGCCTTCGGCCGGACAAAGCACTCCGTCTGGAATCGCTCCTATGTCCTACTCAACAAACACTTGAGGGATGTACGTGGTTGTTGTCCTGACAGCGTTTTTGTAAGGGGCGAAAACTTTGACTATTTGTGAAGCGAAAACAGGAAGACTCAGCCATCTTTACCTCAGCTGCCTCCGAAGAATACTGAGAACAAAGTGGCATGAAAGGACAGAACGGCCAGGTCTTGATGGTGGATGAAGAGCACTTGCGAAAGCTGCAATTTTACAGCTAGTGGCTAAAGTTGGTCGTGGACAAGGTGGACCAAAGCGCTGCTACAAAGACACTTTGAAGACCTCAACCGAGCACCTGTAAATCAACCCAGAGACCTGAAAGGACGCCTTGCCGTAAAGACTGGGGCAGATGCCTCTGAAGCCGATCGGATAGTTGCTGCCACGAAAAAGAGAGAGACCTACAAATGACGCCAGCACCCAACCGTCCCACCGTGTTCAACGGACGTTCTAGGCACATAGTGGCCTCGTTGCATATCCGCGAACCCAGGACAATGCCAACACGACCTGCCTACCTCTTATCTCACAACACACCATCGCTACCGCCACCATTAGCAGCGCCAATGCGGACAGTCCTACCGACCTGCAGAATATTGCTGCCACTGCACTTGTAGCGGGCAGTCATCATGACCGGTCTGGTGTCATTGTTAAAGAGCTTGCTGCCTCGGGGTCCTCCACCCTTTTGCAGTGAGCCATTCCAGACGCGCTGATCTGAAGTCACACGATCGACAGTGCGGGCATACCTGCGTCCACGCAGCCGCAGCTG